TGTGAATCGATTAAAATAAACACACATGACAACTGACATTTATAATAAATAAATAAGAATTTAATTTTAGATATAAAATATGATAATAATATTTTATGTTTTATGCATACTAATTTAAAATACGGCAATAATAAGTATCAAGTACGGTAAAAAAGAGAAATGACAATATTTTCCATTTCTAGTAGATATTAAAATTTGTTGTGATTTTCGGTCAAAAAATAAGAATTTAGACACCAAAATAATAATATGGGGTTTTCAACTATTATAGTAGTCGAATGAAAAAAAAAAAAAAAATCACAACTTTTAAACTGCAAACACGAATACATTTTACGAATTAAATCTTTTGTCCCAGGAAAGTTAGTAATTTTTTTTATATATATAATTTTCTATTATATCATTTGTTCTCTTTATGTTTTGTCTATATAGCATACACGTGTAAATGTATGTTTTTTCAAAATAAGTGTTTAAAGTAAAAATATACAAAATTTACTTACGGCTTTTCTTCCCTGAGACCAAAGAAATATTCGTAAGTATTCAAAAAACGACTTTTGAGCCATGTGTTTTTATTAGGGTGACTTAATTTAGGTTAGGCAGTACGTAATTATAATTCATATTTTAGTCTTTACGAGCTTTATTCAAATTTTAAATATTTTCAAGAATGGCTTTTTCTTTTATTTTTTTATTTTTAATTTTATTTTTATAATATTTTTATAGTTCGAGGTTTTTCTCGTTTCGTATATTATATTTTTCGCTTTTTGAAATCCTTAAGTCTTTTTAAGTGTTTTATACATTTTTTTTACGTACTTTTTACAAAGATGATCACTGATAAGTGATTATACAATTAATAATAGATACCGTGTTCTAACTAAAAATAAAAAAAAAATAATAATAATAAAAAAATATTGATACGAGAAATAATAATTTTTACATACTGTAATATTTGTATGTTCGTATAGGTATCTATCCTTGTCATCAGTGCGGTAAAGTGTACAAATACCAAAGTAGTTTGAACTTGCATTTGAAATTTAGATGCGGCGTTGAACCAAAGTTTCGGTGTGAAGGTTGTAAAAAACGATTTGCTCTTAAACACCACTGGAGAAGACATATGATTTCTGTGCACAATGTTTTACTCTAATATAGGAATAATATCATTATAATTTTATTTATTATTTTTTTGATACCTATTTACCTATGAATTTTAACTCTTGCAATTATTATCAATTTTGTATTAAATTTTAAAATTATTAATTACTATGGATATTATTTCATAAATTGTTTTTTTTTCTCTAAAATATATCTATTCATACGATAACGTGTTTTATATTATACATATATATATATATTTTTTTTTTTCAATAGTATCTCACCCGATAGTACCTATACCAGAACTAATCAATTGTTAATATTAAATTGAGTCAATAGAACGTTAATGTCTTGAATATTTTAAAATACTATATTATATTATGTATATTGATGGTGGTCCTTGGTTAATAGATGAAGAAAAAAAAGTTAAATTATTATGATTGAGTAGTTCAACAACCCATTTTGTTTGTCATCATACGTTCCGTAAAAGGGCTGAACAATGAATGAAAAGGGAAATTATACAGCTTTAGATTTAGAGCTGAACGAGTAATGTATTCGTTTTACAATGTTTATTTATCTATTTTTTTTGTGATTTTCAAGTGTAGCACCATTTCTGCAATGAAATTTGGTACTGGGATGGTACTTTGAAGAAGTCGTTTTTTTGATTTTCCCAGGGGGTTTTCATAATAAATGGGAAAAAACGAGAAAATGAAATGTATTATTTTCAAATCGTAAATTGTGCGGCCTTTTAAAACATTTATAACCGAATTCCGCTCTAAATTAGTTAGAGCGGAGTTAGTTAGTTCTAACTGTAGTATTTGTTCAAAAATATATCGGACCTTAAATATATAACACATAATAAACTAGCGAAAAAAAAACTGTATCTTTTGACATTTTTTCGTACATTTATAATTTCCCGAGAAAATAGATAAAATACTTAATTATGTATTTATTTGGAAAAATTGTTTGATTATGACAACTCAAATTTAATTGAGGAGCTGTTGAAAATACAATAAAATAGCCTATATTTTAACAATAATTTCCTTGTACATTTAATTGTTACAGTCGGGTTTATGAAATTATTATAGGCAAAATAAGTTTGCAACAGAGTTTTTATAAATAAGTTTGGTTGGATTTATTCGTTTATTTTTGTTGCCGTACTATAGGATTGTATATTAATATTTTCGCCATACGATAATCAACTCTACTTACAGAACATACATATGCTGTAAAGATAATCTTTATTTATATTCTAATTATATATTGCATACGTTTTATGATTGTCATACATATTTGTATTAGTCGCGTATTGAAATTGTATTGAGTGTACGTTTGTCATTCTGTACGTTTTAACATTGGAACAATGCCTCATCAAAAAATATTTTTAGTTGGTGTTATGTATAATCAAATAATCAGTAGTAAATTACCATTTAAAAAGATGTTTTAAGTATTTACTTTTTAATATGTAAATGGTTAATTTAACTTTACAAAGTAGTATTTCTTTGATTATTCAATCTTTTGGAAAAAAAAACACGATTACCGACAGATTTTACCTATGACAAATTACGAAACATTGAAAAAGGTAAAAACCCATTAAGTATATTATAATTACTATAAAAAATTTCCTTTCCAAATACATATTTGCATAATTAAATATTTTATGGTATATTTTCAGAAAATTTTAAATTTACGTGGAATTTGTTCATAGATATTTAAGATGTAGTACATTTTAGATTCTAAGTGGAGCGAAGAATCTTATGGTTTAACAAAGATGTTTTTTTTTCTGTGGATAACTTTACTACCAGAGGACTTGCTCCGATTTTTACGAGTAGTATCTTTTCTGAATGGAAATTGATGTGCGGAGATACTTTAGGGAGGACATTTTTTAATTTTCTTAAGAGTTTTCTCAGTAGATGTGAAAAACCAAGAAAAATATGGGAAAACTGGAAAAAACATAGGAATAAACGGGAAAATCGGTACATTAAACAAATATTATTAATGCTAATATATATTGCTTCTTTTATTATTTTACCGCAATGGCATACAAAATATATATTGTTGACAAAACATCACTATCAACTGAACTCCGCTTAGAATCATTTTTTCGTTAGCAATGGTTAATCGTTGCTAATAGGTATACATTAAATTACCTATAATAGTGGCTGCACCCGTTCCAATTATCCTAGGACGTCTTTTTTGAATTTAACTCGAAAAACAGCTAAATTACCATTTGGTTATTTTTCAACCCTTTTGCGGCACGTGAAAAATCGTCCTAAGATATAATATATATATATATGTATTATAGTGACAATGTATTTAGAAATAATGATTTTATATAATTAATATTTTGTGTTAATTCCCCTACTCCTTCCTCCACTGATAAAGTTTGTAATATAGTTTAAATTTTATATATTTTATATTTATAAGATTATTTAAAAATATAAAGAAAAAAACAATATGTAAAAACGTTTACATATTTTAACATTTCAGATTTGTTTGTCCTATTTTGTTTTTTACAAAAATAACTCGGGGAGACAGAGTAAATAAATTAATAGACAAAAAAATAATAATGTATGCAGTATGTACCTATACTTATAATATAGTGTCCTATGGTACTGGTAATTTGATGTTATGTATAAAACATGAATATTTTTTAAAATACTTGTTTGTCCAGAAAAAAAAAACTAAAACTTCATAGTTTTATCACATGTGAATTAAAAATTGCAGGTTTTTTATTATGTATGCTTACAGATTTTTTTAAATCATATAGATAAATCAATATTTATAAATTACCGTTGAATTGTTTATTGAGTTGATCTATTCGAACGTTCACTAATAGCACTGTTTTTAAACAGAGCTAGAAAACCATTTTGTTTCGTGATGATGTGAACATTTCCCCCTTCTGCTTCTATAAAGAGCCATAAAAAACAATTGGGAAATTTTACTAAAAATATAATCGCAGAAGATAATTATATATACGAATTTAATCAATACAAGTTTCAGACAATTTTAAGAATAGCCAAATTAATCCAAAAATATTTTTTTATTGTTTATTATAATTTATAAGAAGGTATTGCTTATTATTTTTTTATATACCTATTGCAAGTTATTGTTACAAAATCACGTGGTATGTCTCGTTATTTTGCATTTTTGACGTTTTTTTACAGGAGGGAAGTTTCCTAATGCTAAACAATAACAATGCAATTTTTAAGCCTAGGATTTTATATAAAAAAAAAGGAGAAAATAGTTATTGAATTTTTTAAACCAGTTTATTAATATCCAAAATAATTTTGTATGTGTAATGAAAATGTGCAGTATATGTTGGATAAAAAATAAAAAGCTGGAGAATGGGAATTGTATGGTCTGGTTAACTGTTTTCTAATAACTACGATTTTTGTATGATCTCCATACTCCATATTTTCAATTCATTTTAAGTTGACTATCAAATGATTCTTTAACATACTCATTAAAGAAATTATAAAGATGATATTTTGTGTTAAAATTTGTTTTAAAAATTCATTTTATTTCTTATAGGTGTGGTATTATAAGTTCAACGATATAACTTTTCAAATAAATTCTTATAATAATAATATTAATAGCAAAAACAATAGTTTTGGTATTTTATAACGGGGTTTTATAGTTAAGATGGGAATGTCATGTATACCAGTACCTGTATGATGAAGTACATTACAATTGTAAATACCCACTCGAAAAATTGACGTATTGGCTTTATTAATTTATTAATTTTAACGTCATTTTTAAAGTACCCGTACGTTAATACGTATTATATTTGTCCGAAGGTTATACGTACCTATATATATAGTGAAATAAAATAAAATTTAAAAAAAAAATTAAAATTTCTAGGTTATACGTTTGATGGGCACGACTACTCGTGTAAAAAATGTGGCAAGACGTACATGCACAGAGGAAGCCTTCAGAGACACTCGAAATTCGAATGCGGCGTGACGCCGAAATTTTGCTGTGGTTTTTGCGGACGAAGATTTTCCCAAAGGTCCAACCTGAGCAGACACGCAGTGGACATACACAGGAAAGCTCTTGAACAGTTGATCCAAAAACATCCGGTATTATTTTATATTCGTGTCATATTATTTTGCTTAACGATAAATGCAACCTATTTTCATATTAAATATATACACGATATTACAGTGTAAATTGATAAAAATTTTTATTTGGCTATATTTGTAGGAATCTGGGAACAAAGACGATAATTTAAAATCGAAAGTATCACAATGATCGAACTGCCGCCGCCGCCGTCGAAAAATCTAGAAGATACAATAATGTCTAAACCGTCACTTAACTTATTGGAATTCTATTGAAAAAAGTATCTCGGATTAATTTTATTTTTGAACGAAATACTACGTAAACTCAAAATTTAACATTTATTCGATAACGGTTGCAAAACGGTGGCGTCTTAAAAATACCCTATATATTCTATATATTATTATTCCAATTTTAATTTGTTTGTTATTTTTCTTTTGCTTTGTTACGTTATTATTGTTTTATAGTTAAAATTTATATCTAGGTACCGATAATACGTACCTACCTATTTGTTGATGTGTTGAAATACTGTTGAAATGTTATATCGAGTAGTTTGTGTTAAAAAAAAATATTGATTACAATTTTGTTTTGTTTTTATTTTTAATTCCATATTCTATTCGTGTTATTGGACGACAAAGTGAACTATTTTTTATTTCACTTTAATACACGCTAATTTACGCGTATACAATTTTAAAGCGTTTGCAATTAAATTTTATCAAGATTGTTAGTGATATTATAATATTTTGTTTATTAAATTTTATTTTAGTGAATTTTGTGGCAAATGTTTCATAGTTTGTATGAGCCAAACGTGTTCCTTTACGGTGAAAAAAGTTCCAACGTACATAATATTTCGAACGAATACAGAACGTTATTATTTAAAAAAATAATATGCGATATCAATACGCTCTTTACACGAAATATTATAGCTATTATTTAATCGAGTAAAATGTGAATCTTTAAGTTAAAAACCTATCGAAATAACTATTTATTTGTCATTATAGTATAAAAATGATTTATTAGTAATCCTGCAGTCGCGTTTTCAAGGCAGGCAATAAGTTAATGTAAATCGCCTTTTCTCTGTTCAGTGTTGTGTGCAGGGAGGGGGATGTTAGGGATTTTAACTCCGTATTGGCTCAAAATATAATTATGAGTGTTAATTAAGTGATTTTGTTTTAAAAATACATATTTTAGAGAAAGGAATAAAGATTGATTTATTGAATCACAATAGATTTTTTTAAATTCTCATTAATGGGTTAGGTATACCAGAATAAAGTGTTTAACTAAAACTCTAAAACAAATGTATTAACATTATTACAAAATATCATCCCATTATAGGTATAAAAGAGCGTATTTCTTCATCTAGTAAACTCTGGAAGTTCGATTTTTAAAATTATTATTGTTTTATCTTGTTTCATCTGGTGATTTTAAATGCATGACTAAGAAGTAATAATGTTTGGGCGATATATTTAACACTATAATAATATATTCGTGTAAAAATATTAAGTATATTATTATACCATAAATAATCGCATTAATTAATTATAAATTCACATAATATTTAGAATATCTAACACCATCACATACTATACATATTTTCGTAACTAGAAAATAGAAATTAAGTAATAATATTCTTTCTTAATATTTAATTATTTATGAGTTATGTTTTAAATTATTTTTGTTTTTTGTAATTAACTAGCAAAAAATATTTTACAAACATAAATAATAACACATGCATACTTATAATAATACAGATATCAGTATAAAATAATTGACGGGAGAGGTATTTCAGGTAATTGCATGAAACGGGTTTTTGATTTTGAGGTCAATGAACTACAGAATATTTTGTACGCTCATAAATATATTTAAGTTTATTGCAATTCTTGGTAGATATTTTACCTATGTTATCCAATTGATTTGTATTTTAATTATTTCACTTTATTTCTGCTTAATAAAAAGGAAATCTATTTATACTTCTGTTTGCAAAATACTTTTCACCATATAGTTTTATTTTATTCTTTATCTATGCATATGCAAATATTAAATTTTATAAAAACTTAAATATAAGGTATAATTTCAATTTATTTTTTTTTATTATTACTATTTTTTTTTTTTTTATTTTTTTTTTTAGTTTTAGTCTATGTCTACAAGTGTCCCAGATGCTGTAGGACTTATAAGCACAAAAGAAATCTACGGCAACATTTAACTTACGAATGCGGGGTTGATCCTAAATTCACTTGTGATATCTGCGAAAAAAAATTTGCCCACAAACAACATAAAATGAGGCACATGATGACAATTCATAAAATCTTACCAAATGCCAAATATTAATTTTGAATACCTATGCATAATATTATAATTATTTACGTACAAATACCTATATATACTATTTCATAATATAGGTATTTTTAAAAATCGTTTTGTAAAAAAATCTATATTAACCATTAGATTTATTTATACTGAGTGATCAATCCTTGATAAGACAATAATTATTTTAGAATTTTTCTTTTTGACAATTTATGAAACAAGTAGTTGTTAAATGTTTAAGGGTGGTAAAAAATAACGGTATTATACAATTTTAGAACTGCTTGTTTCTTGTACTAAAATGTGTACTCTGGAAAAAGTTAATGCATTTCGAGCAATAAGTGTCTTATCAAAGATTGATCGACCTTTATATCTATCGGTGATTAAGTGCCATTTTATACACTATGTAGTTCGCCAAGTGTTGAATATTTTTAAACTGATTTTTTTATTATAATCGTGTACTTGAAAAATAAATATAGATACCGAATCAATATGATATAATTGACACGATTATACAATTAATCGATATAAATAATTAATTTAAATTTTTGTAAATTCTTATTTTAAACAACTAACACTTTTTTTTATTTTTTTTTATAAATTGAAATTAATTTACAATATACACATATATCTAATACCTTTATTAGACTATTTTATTTAAATTATTGTATTTTTTTTTCTCGATTAATTACAATTAAAAAATATATAATACATTGTAATTATTCGTTGATTTTATAATTTAAAAGCAGAGCTTGGACAAAAATAACACTACAATTTATTAAATTCTGAGCGGAGTGAGGAATATATTGATTTAAATATAATGACCTATACTTATTTTTGATTCTGAGTGGAGCGAGGAATGTATTGGTTCTACAATTGGTATTATACAACAGTGATGTTTATTGTTTATTATTATTTTTTCTGTGAATAACTTCCACCAGACATTTTGCTCCGATATTCAAGTGTAGCACTTCTTCTGAAAGAGAATCTGACTGGGGTGGTACTTAAAGGAGTTAAGTTTATGATCTAGGGGTTTTCCTAATAAATGGAAATCGGGGTAAAATGTAGTAAAAACGGGGAAATTAATAAAATGTATTATTTTAAAATCGTAAATTTTACGGTCTTTCAAAACCTTTATAACTAAACTCCGCTCAGAATCATTTTTTATTATCAATAATTAATCTTTGCGTATAGATATACATTAAATTTCCCCTCTACATTTCCAACTTCTCACCTACAACAGTGGCTCACTCATCGTGCGATATATGTCTATTTATTGTTTTATTATTATTTGTGTTTGTAAACAACTTTTCTACCAGAGATATTGCTCCAATTAAAAAATTACAAGACAATTTTTATTTGTATTTTGGTTCTAGTTGGTAATTTTTTAGTTTTCCTAATAATTGGGAAAACCGCATGTAAAACATGAAAATGTTGGGTTTTATTATTTTCGATTTTCTAATTTTGTCATAATGCGGTTTAAAATAATTTTAAAGATTTGAGATGTTCACAAAATACTAATATTAGGATTTAAATGTACAATCATTTTAAAAACATGTTGGTGATTTTTGAGCCATTCATAGGAATTTCGCGTAACGGACTCTGTGCTGTGCGATAAAATTGTAGTGACGTGGTGCCGCTATTGACATTTGGTCATTTATATAAGACATTTTGGTGAATCGTTTTCGGCGAAATAATTTATTTATTTAGAGTAAAAATAATAGAACAAAAAGAGTTGGGGACGGGTGTTTCATTGTTCTAGGTAGGAAGTTGGAAAGTAAAATATATAGAGTAATTTCATTTTTGTTTGTATAAAACGATAAACTATTGCTAACGAAAAACAATTCGGACCAAAATATGGCAAGACATATTTTTGAAATGTGTTTTCAGAATAGAAGGTGGACAAATTGACAAATGAGTAAAGGTAAATTAATCTGATTCCAATGTTGCTATGAATATTGTTACGATAACGTTCGGCCGAACCGATATTATTATAAGAATTTGAATTGATAGCATTATTTTTGGAGATTATAAAACGTAAAAGATGAAAAGTTTGCCATGTAAGTACAGATAAAATTGTCTGATTTTTGCTACAAATAAATAAATTGTATTGCTGAAATATCTGTTTGCCAAATTATCCGTTCGCCGATGTATCCATTCGTCAAAAACGCTTCGCCAAAATGTCATTCGTCTAATTAATTTTTGCCAAGATGTTCTAGATCTGTGGTACTGGTGCAGAGAATGCAATTCTGGCCGTGTACACCACTGGCGGTGGTGGTGGTGGTGGTGGTGGTGGTACGTGTGCGAGTGTTGTGGCGGTATAGAGTAGGTAATCGGAATACACTGCGACCAAAGAAAATTGTATTGAACAAATTTATTTGTTGCATCTATGTTTCATACATTTTCCCTCTATTTACGTCTATTTTTTTTTTATAAGTGTTTTAAATTTAAATATGTTTAGCCGATCTTCGTTCAGAATCGTATTTTGTCAGGAATGATTATGATATCTTTGCGTACAGAAACGAATAAATTAAATAATTTTATGTCTTTTACCTTCTTAACTTTCTACGTTCATCTGTGACGCACTCATAAATCAATATTAGCTATTTTTTTTTTTTTTTAATTTCATTAGGGTTTTTATTTTTTTAAATAAAAGTTTAATTAATATTTTAAAACATGTACCTATTAATAAATTAACTAATATTTTAACAATTTTGTAATTTTAGTTTTCACACATTCAGAACTATACGTGTCTTTGAAAGTAATAATATTATTTTGCTCTACTTTCTCGCTTGGGCTTTAGTATACACACTTGAATGAAATATTGTATCTTTACAGTATGAAAGTGATTTTTATAATAATATTTAGAGCCAACTTATATAATATACCTTGAGCATAATATTATTTTTAATACCGTATATTATCGTTAAAATGTGTTGCAGATCGATTTTTTTGTCCTAACGAATTTTGTAGTCGTAGTTACAAAAACAAACGGAGTCTGCGCAGACATATCAAAGACGAATGTGGTGTCGAGCCAAGATTCAAGTGCAATCATTGCGAGAAACTAATGTTCAGAAAGAGTACGTTGCAAAAGCATCAAGTGATTTGCCCTGCAAAATTTGATCTTTAGTGAATAGTTATACCACTCAAATGGAAATTTGTTAAAAGGGCTTTTTTTCTGTTTACACCGACAGCAGTGAGAGATGTTTAACTACCCCTGTATATTTTAATATTTTCTCTAAAAAGGACCTAAGTTATATATTTGACCAAAATATTTTTATAATAAATAATTTATCTTCTTGTATAAACACAATATTTTGTGTTAAATTGGTCCTTTACGTGTGTGAAATTATTTTAATATATTCATAATATGTTAAAAGTTACTGATAATATGCAAATTTTTTTTAAAAAAAAAACAATAGTTTTTATTTATATACTGAAAATGTAAATTAGGTATATTCCTTTTAACAAATTTCCATTATTTTGATTTTATATAAAATCGTACATTGTTTTTTTTTTAAATTTTATTTATTTTTATGTTTTTATAGAGTTTATTATAAAAGTAAGCAATATTTTAAAATTAAATTATATTTATATTTGACCATAGTAGGTATATCTAGTATATTCATAATAAACATGTTTGCTAACATTGGATTTGATATCAATATTAGTATATATTTTTAGATTCGCATCATATCTGTCTTCATCATGATGGCATACACACTATATTATTTTTGTGATTAATAAGAAAAAAATTAGTAGTTCATATTATACAATTTTTTTTTTTATAAATATTTATTATTGTTGTTTTGTTTAATTAGTAGTAGTTAACATTATATTATATATCGCAATACTTTAAATACTATTTTTAATATTTTGAACGTCGAAACGGGTAGATGTTTTTAGTATTTCACATTTGAATAATATATATTATAGTCATTATACAATTTTCGTTGTACCTACAGTATTTTATGCAACTAATAAAATAGGTACTATTTTATTTGTTTAAAGTTCTTTAAATTTATAATTTAATATATAAAATAAGACAGTTGTGATATTTTCCAACCATTCGATTTTTTTTCAGCAGGCTTCTAAACTGTAATTTTTTAATATATCATGTTTATAAAATTTGTTATGCCATTTGTTATATACGGTAATTTAACTTTTTAAGAATATTATAAAAAAAATAAGTAATATTATGTTTTTTTAAAAGGAAAAAAATTTATTATAAATTCATTGTTGTTATTAATTGTATTATTTTATTGTTAATTGATAATTTAAACAAATTATATACCTACGTTCTATATGCATTTACAATTTTTATATAATAATATTAAACTATATATTATTCATATTGATTATATATATAAATAAACAGTTATAACAGTTTTAAGTTAATCATTTCTATAAAACATAAATAGGATGGCATAAGGAAAACATAAATTATTTTAATTGGTATAGGTACTTTAGAATAACCACGTTAAAAAAATGTGTATTTATATTATCTTTGTTTTTCATACATTAAGATGATTTTTTTTTTAAATTTAACAATTTAGCTGAGTTAGTTTAGGTTTGATGATTTAATGAGAATTTGTTTTGTAAAAAAAAACAAAAATTGCTCGAGTATTCACTCGAATTTACTTAGAAATAACAACAAAGAAACAATGATTTGTATAATACCAGAGTGATAATCTAATAAACTAACCTGACCACACAATCATAGTGTACCTTTCATAATTTTAATTACAGGCGATGTCATAAGTTTCTTATTCACCTGAGTCCAGATATCTGTGGGTTTATGAGATTTTTAATAAAAAGTAATATTGTTAGCTAGGTATACCACTTTAAAAACCTGAAAATAACAATAAATCTTGTTCACCTAAGATAATTTATGGTGATTCC